CAAACATTTAATGTATAGACCACCTCTTAAGTCAGAACCTGTAGAATTTGTAGTCAAATTACCTGCCATCCTTACCTCTTTCTGCCTGTCCCCCTCCAATTTGAATTAATAGAGTATAAGCTGCTGCTTTAGATGAAAAGCGAGTACCTCTCAAAGTCCACACACCCAATTATTATATATCAAACTTCATATATTTCTATTATATGAATGTCTTTTTTTATACCAAATATTTTTAACACTACTTGCCAGACACTGTTCTGCATGCTTTATATCAAGCTACTGAAATTTCATAATAACCTTTGTGGTAGATACTATTATTATGTCATTTTGCAGACAAGGAGGCTGAGGTGTAATATAGTCATGTGCCATTTGATGATGGAAATACACTCTGAGAAATGCATCATTAGGTGACTTTGTGGTTGTGCAAATGTCATAGCGTGCACTTATATAAACCTAGATGGCTAGCCTACTACACACCTAGGTTATGTGGATAGACTATTGCTTCTAGGCTGCAAGCCTACACAGCATGTTACCTCACAAAACAACAGAGTTTAAATGGAGCACAAGAGAAAATGAGGCAATCAAGAGATGTGGTAAACATGAGATGTATGAGAGTGCTGCCAGTATAACACAGCATAGTGTTTTACCGCGAACATTTTTTTATAAGTAGAAAGAGTACAGTCTAACATAATGATAAAATGTATAGCATAGTAAATACATAAACTAGTAACAGTTATTTATTATCATTATCAAGTATTACATACTGTACCTAATTGCATGTGCTATACTTTTACATGACAGGCAGCCCCGTTGGTTGGTTTACACCAGCATCACCACAAATATGTGAGTAATGCATTGCACTATAATGTTACGATGTCACTAGGCAACAGGAATTTTTCAGCTCCATTAAAATTTTATGGGACCACCATGGTATATGTGGTCAACGTTGACCAAAAAGAACGACGCATGACTATAATTTTATGTGTGAACTTGGCTAAGCCATGGTACTCAGGTTATTTGGTGAAACACCAATCTAAATGTTGCTGTGAAGGTGTTTTTTTTAGACGAGATTAACATTTAAATCAGTAGACTCTGAGTAACAGGTGACTACCCTTCCTAATGTTGGTAGGCCTAATGTAATCAGTTGAAGGCCTTATGATTGAGGTATCCTCCACGCAGCAGCCACCACCTCTACCTCCACCCCTGCCAAGAAGAGGGAATTCTGCCTCTACACTGCTTTTGGACTGGAGCTACAACATCAATTCTTTCCTGGGTTTACAGCCTGCTAGCCTACCCTGCAGATTTCAGATTGGTCAGCTCCTACAGTCATGTAGGGCAATTCCTGAAAAGAAATCCCCCTCTCTCTATAACCACCCATCCTACACACACTCTATTAGTTCTTTTTCTCTGAAGAACCCTGACTAATAGGACACGTAAGATAACTTGTAAGTGCAAGACCTGGAATTTAAACAGACTCTGAACCCAGAGACTGTAACCTTAAATCACTGAGTTCAGTGATTGCTGAATGAAGAAAAAAATGTAAAATTGTTTACTCACCAAGTAGATATTATTTGCTGACTGTAGTGAATAGTACAAATGGACAATGAAAGGACTTTTGCTTAGTGCCAGTGCATCCCTCTCAGCTTGTACCTGATGAGTCATATTTTTGTTGATCATGTCAGCTTTTTTGACAACCTATAGTAGATAATATGACAACAGACATTCTTTTTATTTTGTATTACAAAGTGTTCTCAGGGTTCAAAGTTACCATCATGAAACAACCAGAGAGAAAACATATAGATGCCATTTGGACCTCACATTGCCATGAGGATACTCTGCCAGAAAAACTGCTAATATAAAAACAAAAACAGAACTTTCTTCAACAGAGAATTGCTCATCATGAGATCAAGTGTTAAAAGTATCACACCCTTTTGAGATGGAAAAAGGGAACAAATGCTCCCTGACTGCTGTACATCTTAGAAAAAACACTCTTTTCTGCTATTCTTATAACAAAGTAAAAATATAGTCATGTTCCTAATACTTCCCAGAAAACCAGGAACCTAGGCATCGAGAAATAGTAATTAATATAAATATATATTTTACTTCGTGCTTTGATGGATAGAAATAGAATCAGAAAGAGGAAGAATGTGGGAAGTTTTCCTACAAAAAAAAAATTTTAAGAATAGTTAGAACTACTGAAAATTAATAGTTTTCAATGCTGCATTACAGAAAATAATTAGTCCTTTTGAGTTTCAAGGCAATTGGTACAGAAACAAAAATTTAATCTACATTAAAGTTGAAGCACTAAACTGAATAGTCAGTAACATTGAGATTGATTCTCAGGACTACAAGGAAAAAAAGGCATATTTCTTCTAAAGGTTCATTAGCGTATTTAATAAAATCATAAATACATTGTAAATTCCAGCTTAACATCCTTTCCACAAGAAAACTGAAGGAAATTGACAAAGCTAGCATGCAACATGATTTCACCTGTCATTCCATTGGATTGGAAACTGTATTGGAAACTCACCACAGTAGCCCAGATCCTACAAAGAAAAGGTTTCTCTCTCTCTCTCTCCATTTATACATATATATGTTATATAAATTTTATATTATATAAATAAAAAATATATATATTATATACAGGCATATAAGTGAATTGGTGTTATCATTTCAACAACTGAATTAGTAGGTACAATACAAGAAAAAGCAAACCATCTTAGAAACATATGAAGCAATGAAGAGTTCATTTTAATGGGATGGGTCTGAAAGGTCAGGGAAGGTTTGAAGGGGAGCTAAGATGAACCTTACTACATAAATAATATAGGTGGAGAAGAGCAGAGAAGGATAGAAAAAAGCACTCAAAGAAGAACCAGTATAAATATAACCCCAGAGGCAAGAAAATACACAGCATTCAGGGACTAGTCAATTGTCTGGCGTGGCTACAACACAGGGTATGTGGAAGATACAGGGGAAGTTTAGAGCCAGAACTTACAGCATAAATGCTTTTCTCAGGAGTCTGGACTTTAGCTTGTGTGTCACAGCCTAAGGAATGGATGAAAATATAAAATAGTGATTCCAGTTAAGGGGCTATTCTAATAGATTAGGTATGGAAATGAAGGCCTAATGAACCTCAAAAACATCATGTCAAGTGAACAAAGCCAGACGCAAAAGAATTATTGTATAATCCCATTTGTATGCAATGTTTAGAAAAGACAAACCTATAGAGATAGAAAGTAGATTGGTGGTTGCCTGGAGCTAGTGGTGTTAAAGGGGAGAGACACTGCAGATGGGCAGGAGAGATCTTTTGGGGGTGATGGAAATGTTCTAAAATTGGATTGTGGTGATGGTTGCCCAATCTTTTTCTTTTTCCCCCCCATAGTACAGGCTGCTTTATTGGTGGCAGTTAGTATAAGTCAATAAATATTGATCCCCAAAGAAGAACTCAAGTTATTTATTAGCTTACTGGTCCATAGAGAACAGAATGAAATTGAACCAGCTAATTGCTGGGAGGATGAACTGAAGTCAATCCTGCTTCTTGGGAAGTGATGCCATAGCCAGCTGATATATGGCATATGCGGTTCCACCAACTGTAAGAACCATGGTAGCTCTATACAGGAGGGCATCAGCTACCCCATCCACCCTTTAGATGCACTGGAATTCCATTATCCTCCTGAAAAAGCTTTTGTTTCTCTGGAACTTTATTTTCAATCTGCCTGTGTGAAGCAATACTTATGGTCCTTCGGGCAATTTGACGAAGAGCCAGCAGAAGTATGGGAGGGAGGGAGGGAGGGAGGGAGGAAGGAAGGAAGGAAGGAAAAAAGGGTGAACAAACTAATGGAGGAAGAAAAATGAAGGGCTGTACTTGGGCAGACTTGGAAATGAAATGGAAGGAGTAATAATGAATATGGGTCAGAATTGACAAGACTCGTTAAGAGACAGGATATACCGATGAAGTAGAGGGAAGTTATAATGACACAGGTTTCTAGTCTGAATGACAGGGATGATGGCAGTGTTATTAAATGGAGAGGAAATACAGGAGGTTCAGAGTTTAGGCAGTTAGTTGGAGAGGATCATCCAAGGTTAGGCAAGTACAATTTGGAGGTGCTTGCTATGCATTCACATAGCAATGCTCAACAGAAAGCTGAAAATGTCTCTTGCTACTCAGACTGCTGGCTTCTTCCCTTTATCACGTTCAGTCACTGCTGAAATGTGAGTAATCTGAAACTATGGGAGTGGATAAGCAAGAGTGGCCGGAACAGCTTCAACACATTTAAATCTCTTGTATGCTTGTGGAAAGCTATATACTGCTGCAAGGATAAAGGACTGATTTAAGACGTATTTCAGTTTCCTCTTTAAATAAAAGTACATTCTAGATTTATAATGGAAGGTTGGGAGGGAAAAAATGAGGTTGTTTAATGAGATCTTGTGGTTACTTGTGGTTATATAGGTTAGAGAAATATCAAACTGATAGAATTAAAAAATAATTTGGAAAACAACTGTTTCAAACGTCAAGTTTCAAACTTCACCCTGGTAAAGGCCAAATCCGTAAAAAAGGTTCAGAAGTTCTGGTGTCTCCTAAGCATTCGCGGTGTGAAGAGAAGGGCGGGGACAGAGGAGAGACCCCCGACTTGCCCGCCTTCTGACAACCCCCCAGCGTGAAGTCAGCTGGCAGGGCTGTGCAGGCGTCAGCAAACTGGGCCACCCAGTCTAGTAGCGGCCCCGGGGCCTGCCTAATTTAGGGGTCAGGAAGAAGGACGAAGGGCTGGCCTCTTTCCCTTGCTTTACTCCTTGACTTCTTACCTTCACCGCATACAATCTGCCGCCTTTCTGTCCCAGATACACCTTCCCGAAGGCACCACGGCTAATGGGCTTCACTATAGTGAATTCCTCAATGGAGGGAGGTCTTGGCACCGAGATCCTATTCGTGCACTCCCCTGCCGCGGCGCCTCTTCCACTCTCCTTCTCGCTCCCGGTGGGGGGCTCCATTGCAGGCCAGCCCAGATTTAAAGCCTGCAGCAGCCGCCAAGATCTCTTGTCCAGACGCAACTCCCGCCAACTGGGTTCAAAGTGAAGCCCGCCCACGCCGCCCGCCGGCGGTGATGTCACCCCGTCGCTGCGCTCGCGGAGCCCAGCCCAGCGCAGCCCCGCCCCCGTCACCTGCCCATCGTAGATGCTGAAAGATCCTATGGGCGAGAGGGCGGGGGAGCTGGGAAGTTCTCCAACCAACCAGGCTCTTAGAGGGCAGTGGCCACCGCCCACTTCCTCTGTAACGACGGGCGTGGGCCGTGCCACAACCAGTTGTTGGCCAACAAGGGACAACGGGGATGTGAATGAGAATCGAGGGACTTGAGTTCTCTCCCGACCTCCAAATGAGGCTGCCGGGGCCAGTTCGACCCCTCGCCTTTTTTTTTTCTCTAACTTCATGACCTCCCATCCTAACGAGAAATGTAAACCAGTTCAGGAAAGCGATGGCTAGTGAAATCATAGATGCGGGGAAAGTGGATGAGCAGGAAGCGGGTTGGTGCCCGTGCTCTTGACATTTTAACAGGATGTAACTTGTCTGACTGAAACAGATTAGGACCAACAGGAAGAATTTTCTATTTACTGTAGGGGAAATAAAGAACACTAAATTGTGGCATGCGTATTACTCAACGTGAACATCAACTACTTCGGGAGCTAGCAGAGCTCTGCAACAGCGGCAGAAATCCCGGTCCGGAAAAGGCGGCGCACAGACGTAAGCCCCGGATGGTGGCGCTCCCCTGCCCCGGAAGTACTGTTGCGTTAGAGCTTTGCTTTCCGGGACAGGTTGTCGTTGCGGCAGCTTTAGGAAGGGGAGGCCATTTTCCATTTCTAGTAAAAGAGGTAGAAAAAAGACGAGAGCGGAAAAAGGGTTCAGCGCCTCCCCGCCAAGCCGTGGGCAGAAGGGCAGCTTCGGCAGGCGGGTGAGGTCGCTGAAGGCCCGGAGAAGATGTTTTCTCTATCGAGCACGGTGCAGCCCCAGGTGAGTCCCGGCATCCAGTACACTTTTCTCCACAGCCCGCGACTGTTTGCCATACGCGTTTCGTGGAAGCGGTTTCTGGTAAGGGATCGTAGGAGGGAAGCGATCAGACCAACTCGAGTCCTGGAGATGAGAGGGGATCAGGGCAGCGTTGAGAGTAAAGTGTTGATGGTGAAGCAGGGGTAGGATAAGAACGTGGTGGAGACTGGCTTGCCGAGTTGACTGCGTGGAGTTTTTGCTGGGGAATCAATCAGGCATTGTTCAGTGCCGGATATTCAGGGGTAAAGATAGGGGTGGGGGAGACGCCTTTGCCATAGATGTAAGGGGAGTAGGTAATATTCCCTTTCCATCTTTCAACCTCTCCGGAGGCTAGTATTCACAACCTCGATCCCCTATTTTTTCTTTACCTTTAAATGGAATTTAACCCAAACATGCTATAGTAATTTTAGTAATGTCACGAATTTTTATTTTTATTTTTTACCAAAAATGACTAATAAATATTTTCCACGTTATTGACTGCTCGTAAAGCGAAAGACGTGGCAGAGAAAAATGATTCCAAGGGTTTTCAGTTATCATTTTTGATGGTAACACTTTGATAGTGTTTTGTTTTTCGGAGAGTTCTTACAGTCTTGCCAATTGTTTTTGAAAACATTCAGATTTAAAAATAATTTTTTGGAAACTTTGTTTTCTTGGTTTAAATATATACTTAACGTTTCTTTGTGTAACCCATATACTCCCTTGGTTTTTTTGTTTGTTTTGATTTTTGCTAGTACTGGTTCGATAATAGAAAATGAAATGTTTATTTACTGGGCATAAGTTATGTGCCAGGTGAACAAAGCAAATGTGTCATCTTGATGGTGATATGAAGTAAAACAGGTAGGAGTTAGCCAGGTGAAGAATGACCGGAAGTGAACAGGTCTCCCAGGCAGACCAAATGGAGGAAACAAAAATAAAGCCAGTGTGGCTAGAGCATGGTGATTAAGGGGCACGATGACAGAAAAAAGGTTGGGGAGAGGCCTTGAGGCAGATCATACAGGGAGTTATAATAAGAGACTTTGGATTTCATTTTAAGTGTGTTGGGAACCATTGAATGCTTTTAAGTAGGGAGTAACATGATCAGATTTACATGTATTTTCTTTTAAAGATTTTATTGGGAAACTGGGGGAGGGAACAGCACTGGGGAATAGGCGAAGGGGAACAGACAAGTTGCTGTCCTTTTGTTCCTCAGTCTAGTAGTGGAGGCCATCGCTTCACTGGCCCATGTTGATATTGTGATCATTGCGCTCTTCCTGGCAGAGGCAGATCAGTCGCCGGCCATTGGACGGCGGCTCACGGCAACTCACGAAAGTGCACACCAGCTGCCGTCCAGCCCCACTGCAGCCCACGGTGTTGCTGGCGACTCACGGCAGCCCAGCTCCAGGTCGAGCTGTTCACTATCTTAGCTGTAGAGGGCGCAGTGTCACTGGCCCACATGTGGGATCTGAACTGGGGCCCTGCTGCTCAGAGCTCATGCTCCAAGCCAACTCTTAACCAACGAGCCACTCGGCTGGCCCCAGATTTACATCTTTAATAGATTACTCTGATTTATTGCTGTGTGGACAGTGTGAAAGGGCAGGACTGGACACGTTTTCAGTTAAGGATGCTATTGTAGTAATCCATGAGAGGCATAATGCACAATAAAGTGGCAGTGGTTATGGAAAGAAGAGGGTGAGATTTATTTTGATGAAAGAATAGCGTTTCATGAGGTATTGGATATAAGGGGTGATGGAAAGAGGCTTTCTGGTTTGATCAGTTGCATGCATGAAGCTATTATTTACTAAGGTGACAGTTTGGAGGAATCCTACCAATTGTTTGAAAAACAAGTCTGAGTTGGCCTGTTGAACACAGTAGCAAACTTTTGAAACTGAACTTCAAAAAATTTTCATCAAGAGCCAGCTGAGTGGCGCACATTGGTTAAGAGTTTGCTTGGGACACCATCTCTGAGCAGCCGGGCCCTGTTTCGGGTCCCACATGAGGGCCAGTGACACTGCCCTCTACAGCCAAGATGGTGAACAATAGCTCGACCTGGAGCTGGGCTGCCGTAAGTTGCCGGCAATGGTGTAGGCTGCAGTGGGGCTGCAGTGGGCTGCCATGAGCTACTATGAGTGGCTGGCAGCCAGCGTGAGCCGGCCGGCAGCCTCCATGCTCTGCCAAGAGCCTCTGTGATCTGCCTCAGCCGAGAAGAGCACAATGATCACAATACCAACATGGGCCAGTGAAGCGACTTTCTCCACAACTAGACAGAAGAACAAAAGGATAGCAACTTGTCTGTTCCCCTTCCCTGATTCTTCAATAAAATTTTTTAAAAAAGAAGAAAGAAATTTACATCAAGAAGACCCGTTTTAGGAGAATTTATCATCAGCTGGATGGAATACATGTCATTGGTATAGATCGTGAAGGGATTTTGTGTACTGCAAAGTTAAGGCAAGCATTAACTGGATTCACATAAGCCCTTTCATGTTGTGAAAGATGGTAAAACATATTTGTAATTCCTGGTTGCTTAATTGGTTGAATACACTTGAATTTAAATTATAAAATTAGGAAAACCACAGAAGCTAAACTTTTTCATTGAGAAGAGATGAAACCATCTTTTACGCTGTAAATCCTTTTTTGAATGAAAAGAGATAACTAATTAAAATAAAATTTTTCGAAGAAATGGGCAGAAAATATGTATCTTAAAATAATTTGGGGCCGGCCGAGTGGCTCAGTTGGTTAAGAGCTCGCTCAATAGTGTAAGCGCAGAGCAACAGGGTTGCCAGTTCGATTCCTGACCCGAGCTGAGCAGCCGCTGAGCTGCCAAATGGCTCAGCTAAAAAAAAAAAAAATTTTTTTTGATTCTTGTTGTTTTAAAAGAACTTATTGTTCTGACTCTAAAAATTATACACGCTCATTTCCAAAAATGCTGAAAAGGAAAATATGGGAGTAAATAATAAAAATCACCCGTAATCTCATTACCCAAAGAGATCACATTTTAGAATAAATTCTTCCATACTTTTTTATCTGTACACAAATATGTGTATGCATACTATCTGTAACATCTTTAAAAAAAGATGTTACAGATAATTGTACAGCCTGTTTTTTTCTTCAACAGTGTATCATAAATTAATTTCTGTATCGATTACTGTGGAATAAAAAAATCTTTACTTCCAATATGGAGTCAGATTATCTGAATTAGAATCCTTGTTCCTATACTTGCAGGCTAGCTGTGTGATGTTGTGTGACTTTAAACCTGCCACTGAAGCTATTTAAATTCTTGCTGTCTTAATTAAATAGGAAGTATAATAGTAACTTATGTTTATGGGTGGTATAAGGATTAAATGCGATAACATAAGTAAAGCGCATAGTACAAAACCTAGCATATAGGGAGAACCCATTTAACTTATTAATTTACTTAACAAGTATTTATTTAGCATCTACTATGTGCATTTGTTGTTGCTCTGGGATACAGTATTGAATAAAATAGAGAAAAATAAAATATAAACTATGTAATATATTGTATAAATATGAAACATGTATTAAATATATAAATAAAATAGAGAAAATAAAATAATCAAATAAAGAAAAAAATCCCTTGTCACATGGAACTTACATTCTAGCGGGAGAGTGTGATATAATAAAAAATAAATATTTGGTCTCTGTTCCCAGTTCTTGGTACAGAGTTCCTAAAACCCTTGGAATTTCCTGAGTGATAGGAGTGTCTTATTCTCAAGGAATCCCTTTGGATCCCTCCTGGATTTATGCTAATAAAGTGACTTAGGATGGGGTCTCTAGATAATTACAGGACTGGGCCTGATACCAGAAAGAACTCTCAGCCCCAACCCCCTAGCCTCTGGGAGGGGAAGGCTGGCCTGCCCTGGAGATTGAGCTCTGTAAAAACTATAACGCGATTCAGTGCAGAGATTCACAGTGCAGGAGGGTGGTAACTCACGATCATGATTGAGCTCCTGTGTTAGGACCTTTCTGGACCTTGCCCTATGAACCTCTTCATCTGGCTGTTCATTTTTATATTT